AATATAGGTCTCAAAGTAGTCTCTGATGATTTCTTTTGACTTCCATGGTGTTTGTTGTATCATCTCCCCTTTTGCATTCCTAGATTTCTACTAATTTGGGTTTTTCTCTCCTCATTTTTAGTCAGTTTGCCGGGTCTGTTGACTTGTTTATTTTTTCAAAGACAACTTTTTGTTTCATTAATTCTTTGTATGGTTGTTTGTTTCTATTTCATTGATTTCAGCTCTATTTTTATTATTTCTCTCTTCTATTTGTTTTGGGATTTGCTTGTTCTGTTTTTCTAGGAGTTTGAGATATCATTAGGTCATTGATTGGGATCTTTCATCTTTTTAAATATGCACTCATGGCTATAAAACTTTCCTCTCAGACTGCCTTAGCTGTGTCCCATAGGTTCCGGTAGGTTGTGTTTTCATTTTCATTGACTTCCAGGAACTTTTTAATTTCCTTTCTTTTTCATCGATGATCCATTTCATTAAGCCATGAGTTATTCGTTTGCAGCTGTTTGCATTTTTTTGTCTTTATATTTGTTGTTGAGTTCTAGTTTTTTGCATTGTGATCAGATAGTATGCATGGTATTATTTCTATTTCTTATATTTGCTGAGGCTTGCTTTGTGCCTAGGATATGATCTATTTTGTAGAGGTTCCCATGGGCTGCTGAGAAGAATGTATATTGTGTAGAAGGTTGAATTGAATATTTTCTAGCATCAACTAGGTCATTGATCTGTTGCTATATTTTAGATCTGGATTTCTTTATTGATTTTTTTGTTTGGATAGACCTATCTTTGATGATGATAATGGGGTGGTAAAGTCTCCCACGACCACTGTGTTGGAGTTAATATATGCTTTTAGGTCCTTCAGGGTATGTTTGATGAAATTGGGTGCATTGACATTGGGTGCATATAGGTTGATAATTGTTATTTCCTTTTGGTCTATTTCCCCTTTTATTAGCATGGAATGTTCTTCCTTATCTCATTTGAGCAATGTAGGTTTGAAGTGTACCTTGTCAGAGATAAGTATTGCTACTCCTGCCTGTTGCTGGGGACCACTGGCTTGGTAAATCTTCTTCCAGCCTTTCATTCTAAGCCTATGCTTATTTCTGTCAGTGAGATGGGTCTCCTGTAAGCAACAAATTGTTGGATCTTCCTTTTCAATCTAGTTCGTCAAATTGTGCCTTTTGATGGGTGAATTAAGTCCATTAACATTAAGTGTTAGTACTGATAGGTATGTGGTGATTCCTGTCATTTAGTTGTCTTAGTTGTTTGATGGTTTGATTGTGTGTAGCTGAATCGATGTTACTCTTTACTTTCTTGCATTTTCTTTTCCTGTAGTTTGGTGCTGCCTGCCCTTTCATGGTTATGTTCAATTTCACTTTCTGTGTGCAGAATCCCTTGAAGAATCTTTTGTAGTGGTGGCTTTGTGGTCACATATTGCTTTAGTTTCTGCTTATCATGGAAGACTTTTATTGCTCCATCTAGTTTGAATGATAGTTTTGCTGGGTAGAGTATCCTAGGGTTGAAGTTATTTTCATTCAGTTCCCAGAAGATCTCACCCCAAGATCTTCTTGTTCTTAATGTTTCTGTTGAGAAGTCTGCTGTGATTTTGATGGGTTTCCCTTTGTATGTTATTTGTTTTTTCTCTCTTACAGCCTTGCATTCTTTCTCGAGCCTCTGTATTTGTTGTTTTAATGATAATATGCTGTGGGGTAGATCTATTTTGGTTGGTGTGTTTGGTGTTCTGGAGGCCTCTTGCATCTGTATGGGCATAGATTTCTCTTTTGGGAAATTTTCTATAATTTTTTTTGAATATATTACACATTCCCTTTCCTTGCCCTTCTTCTGCTACTTCAATGCCCATGATTCTCAGGTTTGGTCTTTTCATGGAGTTAGTGAGTTCTTGCATTTTCTTATCACAGGTCTTGAGTTGTTTAACTAATAGTTCTTCAGTTTTTCCTTTAATTACCATTTAATCTTCAAGTTCTGAGATTCTGTCTTCTGTTTGCTCTATTCTGCTGGATTGACCTTCCATTTCATTTTGCATTTCTGTTTCATTCTGTTTTCTGAGGTTTTCCATATCATGAGTCACTTCCTGTTTAATGTTGTCTATTTTCATCCTGAGTTCATTTATCTCTTTATTAATCGTGTTCTTTGTTTCACTTTGGTGTTTATATAGTCCTTCTATGGTTTCTTTTATTTCTTCTTGTGCTTTCTGTAATTTTCTATTTTTGTTGTCTTGGAATTTCTTGTGTGTCTTCTGTATGTTTTGGTTGACCACATCCAATATCATCTGTATAAAATTCTCATTGATTACTTGGAGAATTTCATCTTTCAGAGTATTCTTGCGGGCTTCATAGGGTTCTTTGGCATAGTTTATCTTCGTTTTGTTGGGGTCAGTATCTGAGTATGTTTTTCTTCATTTACCTCTGGTTCCTATACTAATTTTTTGCTGTGGGGAAACTGGTTTCCCTGTTTTTTCTGTCTTCCCATCATTTCCCTTGGTATTGTTATTGTCCCTGTACTGTGTGAAATTAAGCATTTTCTAGCTTGTAATAATAACAATGGTGATATTTAGAATGGAAGGGTGAGAAGAGAGGGAAAGCAAAGAAGGTAAACAAAAAGGGAAAAACAAATAAACAAACAAGTAAAAAACCAAACCAACCAAACAAAAAACTGTGTCAAAGATATAAACAGGGAGAGATAGTGTACTAATCAACAGTAAACTAAACAGGCATTAGAGAGACAGACAGAGGATTAAAAAAAAATTAAAAAAATAAAAATAATAAAATAAAATAATTAAAAAAAATCTCCAAGTTCAAATGTAATAAAGTTTCAGTCTTAATAATTTTAGTTTTAGTTCCTCAGCCTCAAATCCTGGAGATGGTGTCTCAGAAGTAGTTCTGACATTGTCTCATCAAAAGGGAAAAAACCAAAAAAGGAAAAAAAAACCACAACAAAGTGTCCCAAGTTCAGATGCATTACAGTTTCAGTAAGTTTTTCAGCATGTAGGTATAGTTCAGTTGTTGTCTCATCAAAGGAAGAGTGAAAAAAAAGAGTCTGGAGACAGTTCTGTGAATGGCTATCTGAGGCTGTGGCTCACCTGTCTGCTGCTGTCAGCCTGCTGTTGCTGGAGGCGTTATTTATGCAGATCTCAGGGGTGAGCCTAATACTCACCTGGCCCCGCAGGCTTTGTTTACTTGGAGTTCTCCTGGGCCCGACCGCCACTGTTACAAGCTTTCCCCTTTCCAAGCACACTGGGGGAGGTGAAACTGCACCCGCTTTCTCAGGCCTGCATGTTTATTTACAGTTCACATGGGAAGTGACACTTTCCCCCTTTCCTGTGGAGTTTTCCTCCCACTGCCGCTTTTACAAGCTTTCCCGCTCCTGTTTGCTGGTCGTGTGCTGCCACTCCTGCCTTCTCTGGCCTGGCTTGTTTATTTACAGTTCTGTGAGGGATTCCCCTCACCCCCTTTGGTGTTCAGGGTGCCCCACCCTCCTTGCTATGTGTCTTTTTGTTGTTTATTATTCAGTTTGTTTTTTTTTTCCCTGGGTGGGGGTTGGTCTGTCCAGGGGTCTATGCTGATCTGGCCCAGGGTTGTCTGTGGGAGTACCACATGCTGCTTAGCTCACCTGGTGGTCTGCTTCTCCCAAGCAGGTTAGGCGCTGGCATATGGTGGTATAAGAGCCCTCCTGGTTTCTCTGTTTAATGTGGAGTGGAGATGGTATGTGTGGGCTGGGGGTGTGATTGTGTTGGAGTTTTACCTCTTCTTGGTGGTTTTTCCTGCAAGGTGTTCTCTATCATCTCTCCAAGATTTTACTTTAGGAAGCACTCTTTCTGCTTCCTCCCTGTAGTCGCCATCTTGGAATCACCTTCACCCTTGATTGTTTAGCATTTTGACTTTTCTCCATCCTTCCACCAGTGCCACATGCTCATACTATCAAAAATAGCCACAGATGAACCTGACTTGGCCATTTATATATTTCCCACAGTGACTCACACAGTTCCCAAATTAAACAGGCTTTCAATACATATATATTAGGGCAGAAAAATTAATCTTTTAAATTACAGGCCAATCTTACAGCATTGTCATAAATGTAGAAAATAGAAGAGAAAAGTCATTCATAAATCAACACAGTGTTCCAGTGACTTTGGTATATTCTCTCATTGTGAAGGCACTCCCATTTTTTCTGCATGTCTTACAAAGTTGCCATTATTACCCAGGGGTCTACACAAAGCACATGGAGAATTTCGCAGTGTGTATAGAAAGGTCACATCACAACCATTAATATTGATCACCACATAGGTCCAGCTCTCTGTCTTCCTGGCACATGGCAGGATTGTATTTTCTAGCCTCTTGTGGTTAGGTGAGGCCACATGACCACTTCTGACCAATGACCAATGATCAACTGCTGGTATGACCCCTTGCCTTCCCTACCCAGAACACTGTTTCCGAGTGGCTATTCCATCAGCCTTGGAGATAATGGCAAAAAGGAGTCCCTAGATGACCCATGATGGATATGAATTGGAAGTAAAATATGAAGCCATTAAAGTTTTGGGATTATTTGTCACTGCAGCAAACTTTAGCTCAATCTGACATATAGATTGCAATTCCTGGGAGCTAGAAAAAAACCCAAGAGATTTTTCTGGCTTAACACTGAAGCTCAGAGAGGCAAAATGGGTTATCCAAATCTTACAGAAAAGCAGTGTTGGCTCTGGACTAGGCCCAGGTCTGCTGTCTCCTTGAACACTTCTCTCAATTCATCAGCATTCTGGGACCCACGGGAGGCCAGTCTCAAGTGATGCTGCCCTGCTTTTCCTGCTTTGTGGTGGCATTTCTGCATCACTAGGAAGTCCCTGGAGCCTGAGGCACTGGCCTGATATAATTTTATATCTTGGCAGTAGTTTAAGAGAGCCCTGGGGCCCACTTTTTGAGCCCTCCTCAAAATGGCATGACATAGGTGCCCACATCAGCACTAAAGCAGCTAAAAAACTGTTTCCTTTTACAGATGATAGTCTTGAATTCTGTGTAATGGCATCTTTGTACAAGTGAAAGTTCAACAATTCTACTTTGGAATTATCTAATGGTGAAGAAATTCTCAGATTCAAAGGTATGAGGATAATTAGGACTCTTGTTAATCATTCTGCATCCCTTTCCCCACCCCCACCCCATCAACGAGATTCACACAGATTAATTACTGCCTGCTATAAATAAATGCAGAGAAAAGCAATCTGCATAGGAGAGGCAGAGGGTAACTGTCATTTAATATAGCACAGCTTTCTGCACACCTGTTCTCCCTTGCTGTTGCCTTGGAAACTACACTTATAAGAGAAGCTATGCATAATTAGCATGGATGGAGGTCTATATCAATCAGAATAATTTGGAAGAATGCTAAAAGCCCAAAGGAGCAGGCAAAACTACTTGTCTCAGTAGGAAGGAATCAGACCTCCACTGTGCAGTAAATGAGGAGGCAGTTACAGTAGGAAATCAGCAAAATTAGCAATTCTGGGTCAGCTGAAAAATGGGGAGCCAGCCTGACTCTCTCACTAGAGAGAAAGAAAACTTTGTCATCGAGTTTTGTCTTCTCTTTTCAGTGGTATTTAGAGTTGCACAAAGGAAATACAAAGCCAGGCAAACACACAAGTACACTTTAAGGTAATGGGCCTTGGATGGCAGGATCTTCGCTTCTGAGTGGGGGGCTCTGCACCCCATCTGGGGAGCCTCTGCTGCATTGGGCTGGGGCTCCAAGACTCCTGCTGTGGGAAGGGCAGGCTTCCAAGTGTGTGACTCCTTCAGTGAATGGCTTTCAGTCAAGTATACGGTTTATGAGTGGTTGGATACACCAAATTTCTTTTGAGTGTTGAAGGGAGCTTAGATTATTTCAATGCTCTTGTTTTTGGAGGAGGAAGGGAAATCACAGAACGATGCAGCTTGCTCAAGGTTTCAAAGCCAGCTGGTGGCCAGTCTAGAAGCAGGACTCAGCCATTTTTGTTTCTTGTTTAGTACCTGATGCCAGACACCAGTCCAGACTGTCACTGAGTTGCTCATTCTGGACAGAGAGGCTAGGTCCTTTATTGCAGCAGGGATGAAACTGAGACCCTGGCACAGGAATGTCTAAATGTCTGATGACATTGGCTTTCTGATTAGATTAGATATTGATTAGAAATTGGCTTTTCAGTGCCTGACAATTTATTTTCAGGCATAGACATGTAAATTCACTCATTTTTTCATCCATGTAGCCAATATTCATTAATTACAGTGGGGTGATATTAAACTCGTTTGAGATACACACAAAATTTCCTATAAATTCTTAATTTACAGAGCTCATACAGGATTATTGTTTGCATTAATTAATGTTCATTAATTAAACATTTATGTGTTGACTACATAAATGAGTAGTCAACTCAATTCTGGGTGCTGGGATACAGCCACAAGTGATGCTTGATGATCTGCCTACCCCTAGAACTTGCATCTTAGTGGGAAGGACAGATCCTAACTATGGGAGTAAGCCAACAACGTAGTGATAAGTGGTGATAAGTGTGCAGGACTGGCAGTTTAGATTTTGTCCCCACTGCAATGCTCAGCAATCACATGGCTTTAAACTGGGAGTGACGTGATTGCCTTTGTTAGCACCTTGCCTTGTTCCTCAGAGTGGGACCTGAGATTGCCACTCTGGAGGGCTCTTGGGCCAGCAGGGGCCCATGGGCTATTCCTAGGAGCATCTTCTGTCCTGTCCCAACAGCAAGTCTGAGACAAAGACAAAGGGGCACAGCTTGGGGATGTGGCTTTTTCCTCTCTCCCCTTTCCAGTTGCTCATTTTATGCTTTATCACCATGGTCCTCCCAGTAACTGAAATAATAAAAGTGAGAATAAGAATGGCTATGAAGGGGTAATACTAGCAAACATTTATAAATGAACCCTTATCGTATGCATGGTGTTGTGCACATTGCTGTGTGGTGTGTAACTCATTATTTCTTCAAAACATTGAAAATGTCGTCAGGTTGATTTTGCAGATAAGAAAACTAGGAGGAGAGATTAAGTAGTTTTTTCCAAGGTCAAATACCTAATTTAATGGTAGTGCTAGGATTTGAAACCAAAGTCTGTCTGTGCCATTAACCTCTATGCTAATTGATAAATCTGTACTGTTAATATGTTAATAGAAAAGGCTTAAATCCTATAGTTTCCACATTAAGAGAAGCAGGAAGAATGAAACCATAAGTGCTTTGTATCTACCATGTTCTTAAAAATACATTAGACATAATAAACTCTTGGTTTTCACAACTGCCACCTCCCACATGCTCTGGAATTCACAGTTCTTACAACAATGCTGCAAGATAGATATCATTCACTCCATCATTGGGGTGAAGATGGACACTCAGTGAGATTAGACAACTTGATGAGGGGTTATCAGGATGTGGCCTTTGGCTTGTGGTGGCCACTGCAATGGAGGCTCAGGGAACTGGAGTGTGCCCGAGTGGAAGTAGAGGATGCCCTGCAAGCTTTCAGGCAGAAAGCCTGGAGCATCACAAGCCCTGGGTGGGTGGTCTTTGGCTGCTGGCACCTCATAAGAAGATCTTCAGAAAGCCTAGGGTTTGGAGCATTGAGGGATCTAGTGGTCACCCCAGGCTCAGAGGTCATGCTGTAGTGAGCTCAGGGGTCGTGCTGAGAGTGGCCACAGGCTCTGTCCTGTTTTCCAGGAATACCATAAGAATGGCCTCCTGTTTGAGGACATGCTCTGGCTGAGATTGTTTCTTTGCAGACTGTGTTTGCTCCTGGCTGGCCTGCCATACTGTCATTGTCCTCTCAAGTTTTTGACCCAGTTTAGCCTCCTAGTGGCATGGCTTGCCTGGCATCCTCTGCCACCCACATGATCATTCCTTCTCTCCAAGAATTCATCTCTGCCAAGTGCACTAGGTGCACTTAAAACAAGTCCTGGCCAAAAACCATGGCCACACCTTCTTTTGCCACATATATGAAACCATATCCTCTCCCAATTCAGAGCCTGTTGGGCTAAATCCTGTTGGCTAAGCCTTTGCCTCACCCCTGAGCTTCATCTACCTGACCCCAATTTCACCCAGACTCCTGATTGTGTCTTTAGTAGTTGACCTGGTATCCTTGGCCTGAGCTGACATCTTCACCCTAATTAATTCAACCAGAGCCACTGTAGTCTTCAGGGGCTTACAGTCTAGGGATAGCTGGGAGATGAAGTTCAATGGGACTGCATTGAGCCCCAGTCAGCATGTGAAGATGCAGTTGGAGATGCTGGTGTGACTGAAAAGATTAAGACGACCCCTTGGTCCAGCTCTACTTCTAGGAGGCACAGGTGAGCAGGTGTGCCTGGGAGCCGTGATCTCTGTTACCATGGGGCCTGTGAAGAAGCCACCCCAGCACTCTTCACCCACAATGCATGCCTAGGCAGGCCTCCACTCAGGTTCCATCCAGATGAGTGGGTAGTGGAGTCATGAGTGTCCCTTCACAGATGGTGATGACATAACTAGATCATCTGCATTAGCCCTTCTTTGCCACATAACAAAATGCTACATTGGCTTAAAATAACAACCACTTAATTAGCTCATGTTTTGGGAGAGGGTGGTTCTTCTGAACTAGGCTGGATTTGCTCATGGTCTGGGGTCAGCGTGGGTCTGACTGGTTCTGTATGGCTTCATTCACATACCTGGCCACTAGCCAGCCACTGGCCGGGGCCACAAGGGCAATGGGGTAGTGTAACCTCATCCTCTAGTAGCTGCATGATCTTGTTCACATGGTAGCAGGAATCCAGGAACCTGGAGCAGCGAGGGAAGAGGCTTCAGAGAGCGAATGTCTGTCAAGTCCCTGTGTGTGTCACATCTGTTTTTGCCTCATTGGCTGAAGTAAGCTAGGTGGTTAAGCCTAGAACCAGTATGGAAGGCTCTGACGGAGGGATGTGTGAACAAACTGGGTCATTATTGCAAGTGATTTCCCATGCTACCATTTCAGTTCGGGCTTGCAAAGGACTGACATGAGAGGCAGTGAATATTCTGCTCTGTATCAAGAAAGCTGGTAGAAATGTTGTCTATAGTAGCACACACCTATAACCCCAGTTCACTGGGAAGCAGAGATTGGTCAGACTATGGTTGGAGGCCAGCCCCAGCAAAAAGTTAGTAAGACCTTCTCTCAGCAAATAAGCTGGGTGTAGTGGAACTGCCTGTAATCCCAGCTACATGTGATGCAAATGTAGGAGGATCTCAGCCTGAAGCCTGCCCCAGGCAAAAATTTAGGACCCTATTTGAAAAACAACTAAAACAAAACAGGGCTAGGAACATGGTTTAAGTGGTAGAGTGCTTGCCTAACTAGTGAAAGACCCTGAGTTAAAACCCCAGTACTGAAAAAAAGAAAAAGAAAAAGGAAAAAACAAAGAAGACTGGTAGAAGGAATTCAAGCAAGCACCTAGTTCTGGCTAATGCAAACAACTCTAAAGTCTTTCCCAAAATTCCCAAATTAACCCCTGGTTTTGGGGTACTTTGGTCATTGCCTTGGAGGTCAGACTGCAAATACTGCTGTTATTTCTCCTTTCTCAGTCAGCTTCTTCCTGTTGGAAAGTGTTCCCTAACACTGCTTGTGTCCCGAAGCCAGCCACTTTTCTAAGCAGACTTTATTCTTCCAAGTTTAAAATCAGTACATCATTTTTTTCCCTGTTTACATCCAATAGAGTATTTATGAAGAGTGCTGATGGTGTGACCCCAGATGAAGCAGAGTGCAGAGTTTTCTCTAAAATGGTTTTACCACTGACATGCTGTGCCTGATAATCTTATTGTTTTAGGCATAATTTCTTTCAAAGTGATTATTTCAGCTTTGAAACTGGAATGGTTATTTTCTTATGGATACCAACTCTCATGATATTTTTATGGTATTCAAAGAATATCTTGAACCCATTCATTTCTCTATTCCAGAATCTTTTCAATGGTTATTTGGCTGAAATTAGCACAAAAGATTGATATGCCATTTATTACTTTCGCTTTTATATTGATTATATATTTGTGTTGTACCAAATATGGTTATATATATGGACATGAATTAAATATGATTAATATGCATGCATAAAATATTTGAACTTGAACACTGTTCCCTGGTGGAACATTCTAGTCTTGGTTGAAATATCTAAGTGAATTCCGAAAGAAATCATTAGTTCCACTCCAGTGTATTTTGTTTTTGCAGAAGAGGTCACACTACACACCACCATGATTCCTCATTTTTTATTGTTGCTCTACAAGTCCCCTGAGAATTCAAGTGACTTTTGTGAACAAGACAGAATAAATTAAAAACAAAACTGTTGGGCTGGTTCCTGGAGGGTAAGACAAGTCTTTGGTTTCTACTAGTGGCATAGATTATTATATCATATCATATCTATTATATAAAGGAAAACCTTGAAAATGAAAATGTGACTACTGTAGATTGCAAAAGTGCTCCCTATCATCTCCCTCTCTTTGTCTATGACCTTTGCAAACTGCCTTTGCAATACCTCCCATAAAGAGGTGAAGTCCATTTCTCCACTTCTGAATCTGGACTGGCATGTGAATCACTTTGCCAGTCAACTTTGGAGGAAGTGATGGCTGCCACTTCTGAGTGTGGAGTTCAAGAACTCTGGTTCACTTATCTGCCTGTCCTGAGATTCCACTTTCAAGCTCACTCCCAAGCGAGCTTGCTGGAGTATGGAGAGAGAATGTCAGTTCGAGTGAGGAATGTGTGAGTGAGCCCAACTGAGATCAGACAAGTATGGCTCAGCTGTGAAGAATCATCTATCAACTCATGGGTGGCAGTAAAAACTCACTTCTAGCCACTGAGTTTTAGAATAGTTTTCTGTACAGCAATAAGTAACTGACAGAGAGGATCACAGAAAGTGAGCTTCTGGAAGGAAGGATCCAGGTCTGATTCTCATGTCATGAGCTTCTAGCACACTTTAGGTATTCATGATTAAATGTTTATTCAATATGTGTGTGTAATATGCTTGGCTTCCTGGTTTTGGGTTCTTTCTGGTGGTGCAGATAGAAGGATGATTATTTTCCTCACAAATTTTGGGATTTTAATGGAAAAGGAGTGGATTCTACAAGCAGAGATGCCTGCTGTTCTTCAAATTGCCTTTTACCTTCTTTATTAGCTCCAGTTCTTAGCTTTTCTCTGGACACATGGCTTCCTGCAATAAAGATTTCATTTTCCTCAGCTATCCGTATAACTAAGATTTACCAGAGGGATTTAAGCAAATGTGAGCTGGTAGACTCCTTTTTTTCTCTACGTTCCTGTTAGTTAGAATGCATGTGTGCTAGCTAGGTATGGTACAGCCATCTTGTAGAATGCAGTAGAAATCATGGGCCAGGGGTGCCCCAAGAGTAAAGTTAAGGACTGTGGGTCCCCAATGCCTTCTGTGGTCAGCCGTTCTCCATCATTTACTCCCTTATTCCTATAGGGGACTCATTCATTCTTAGCAGGAGTCAGTGGTTAGAAGACCTCTCTGTAGACCTCCCCTTCATTTTTTAGGCTTAGCAATATAACTTGTTATGGTCAATCAGGTGTGAGCAGAAGCAAGTGCCATGCCCAATCTGTGGTGTTAAAATCTTCTGTGCATTTGACAAGTCTTTTACTCCTTTTCTGTCTCTCAAGCACAGCATGTCGCAAAAGGGCCTGATCCTCAGCCTGAGGCTGATGAAGAAAACACATGGAACAGGGTCATGACAGCCAGCCTACTATCACGTGAGTAAGAAATAAGTATTTGTGATGGTAACAGTTGGAGGATAGGTACCTTCCTACCTTTAGATTTCTTTTATATTGGAGAGAAATTAATATCTATCTTCTTTGGGATACTATTTTGTGTTTTCTGTCATTCTTGGCTAATTTGAAATATGGCAAATTCTTTTATTTTATTCAGACTAAGAATGATGTGATGTCACTCAATTGACATCTATTTACTGAGTCTGTAGGTTAAGACTGGCACTTTGTTAGGCATGGGGATAAAATTATGATTAAAAAAATTCTGCCCTTGTGATGCTAAAAGTGTACTGAGGAATCCAAGGATGAAATGAATGAACACTCAAAACCAATTAAAGAAAGTTTCAGTGCACTATAAAGGAATATAGTAGGGACACCTGCTTTTAGCTTGAGAAGTGGTAAGGGAAGATCTCTTTGTGGAAGTGATATTTTAGTTGACATCCAAAAGAGAAAAAAGAATGTAGGTGAAGAGTGAGAGGAGGATGAAGACAACAAGACAGGCAGAAGAAATAGAAGGTATTAATGCCCTGAGGCAGACAAGTGTTTGTGTTTTTGAAGGGCTGAAAGAAGTCACAATGGCCACATGGTGAATGAACATGGAGGAAATGAAAAGCTGAGGCTAAAGAACGTGATAGAAGCCAGCTTGGATAGAGTCTCATAGGCTGTGACAAATACTTTGGTCTTTATTTTGAGAGCATTGGCAAACTGTTGAACATAGGCTAACATTCAATTTGTGATTTAAGAAGATCACTTGGTCAGCTGTGTGGAAAATAAATCCAAAGGGACCATGACCCAGGGAGGCTGGTGTGAGGATTCTTTATGGAGTATGTACAGATGCATGTATTATTTTGCCTTTTATATCTGGAGCTCTATCTTTAAGTGGATACAGGTATCTATTTGATACAGTACCACTTATTGGAAATGTCTTTTCTCCACTGCTGTTGTAGTACATCTTTGTCATAAATCAGTTTCTAGCCTGTTTATTGTTGTTTGTCTCTGGATTGTCTATTGAGATCCATTGGTCTATTTTTCTCACAAAGACTATACTCTCTCTCTTACAGTGCCTTTATGATAAATTTTGATGTCTGCTGTATGCGTTTTTCATCTTTGTTCTTCAAAATTGTATTGGCTACCTTTGGCTTTTTGCCTTTTCACCTAATTCTAGCATTGGTTTTGTCAGTTTTCACACTCTTGCATGCATACACATATGCAAGCATGCACTTGTGTGCACATACCCATACCAATCCCTAATGTAATTTTGATAAGGATTATCATTTTGAGGAAAATCTAGATTTTTATAATACTGAAACTTCCAATCTATGAAACATAGAATTTATCTCCATTCATATAGGCTTTCTTTAATTTCTCTCAATAATGTTTTGTACTTTTCTGTTAATGTTCTCATATGTATTTCTTTAGATTTACTCCTAGATATTTAATAATTTTTGGTGCTATTGTAATGGTATCTAAAAACATTTTTGTTTTATAATTGTTACTGTCATATATAAATGCAATTAAAGCTTTGAGAATTGATCTTTAATAGTCATGATAAATTTATTTATTAATCTTGAAGTTTGTGGATAATTTTGAATTTTTCATGTATACTGTCATGTTATTTTTGGACAATGACAATATTATTTTCTTTCTGTGTTGTTTTATTTTTGTTTTTGGTGGTACTGGGTGTTTTGAACTCAGTGCCTCAAGCTTGCTAGGCAGGCACTCTACCAATTGAGCCACTCTGCCAGACCTTATTATTTTCTTTCTAGTACTTATGCTGTTATTTTTTCTCTTACTGAGCTAGTTAAAATCTGTAGTACAATGAGGAATACAAATGGAGATGGCTTTGTTCTAGACTTAGAAACAAGGTATTATCTTCTAAATTATTTGATGAGTGAAACACCAGGTATTTCCATTTTAATTGTAATATCTTTGATTATTGGTGACCAAAATCTTTCCTTATTTATTGCGCACTGAGCACTACGTATTATGCATACTTTCTCTGTTGTGCATTAAGTTGCTAATTCATATCCTTTGCCCATCTTTTCATTGATAGACATCAATTCTAAGTTGAAATGTAAGAACTCCTTAGATATTATGAGTTATTGCCTTATCTCTCATATATAGCAATATTTGCCACTAGCCCTTTAATTTTCTATATGCATTTAAAATATTTAATCATGGAAAATATAAAAAGTACATAAAAATACAGTAGTATGATGAGCCTCATGAATCTATCACTCAATTTCAATCATCATTTATATTTTATTTACAGAATTTTTTGATTTATTAAAGTTTTACATTGGTGTGTTGTCAAATATTTTAATTTTTTCCAGTTTTCAGTCTTTTGATGTAGAAATTTTAATTTTAATGTTGCTTATGCATATCAATTTTTTTCTGTTGTGTTTTGACTTTTAATATCTTAAGATGTCTTTTCATATTATGAAGTTGTAGAGATACTTTTGTTTTCCTTTAAAAGATTTCCATCTCAGATTGAAAGAAGCGTGTCTTCTCTAGCTGGTGTGACAGTGGTCTGTATTCATTTGATCAACTAACTATATACTTCTGTATTTTTCTCTTCTATATTTTTATGAACTTTTTGGCTGTCTTGCTTTACCACTTTTTGAGAACACAGAAGTATCACAGGTTAAAGAGGAGATGACATGCACATGACTCCTTTAATTTAATTTCACTTCTTTTCTTCCAAATCTGAATTCAGCAAAATACTCAAAAGTCCATTACAACATAAGTGTGTGGTTAAGTTGTTGTACTATAAAATCTTGTTTCTCTGTAGGCTGGTTCTCCAGTATCCCTCAAGGAATATAAATATTGTTTAAAAATCCAGAAATATCAAATTGCAGAGAAAGTATCTGAAAGCAGCTGGCATGGACCCCAGACTGATGGTGTAGGCCTGATATTCAGTGTTGAGTTTGCTGCCAACTGATGGAAGGAGCCCCGTGACCCTCACTTTCTTCAGCGCTGAGGAATGTGGGATGGACAAAGGGAGACAGAGAGATGGAGAGACAGAGGAATGTGGAAGATAGAGAAGTGTAGAGAAGCCTCATGATCAACTGTGGCAAGTCCCTAGTGCCACAATGACTGAAGATGAGCAGGGCTTTGAAGGAGAATGAGACCACAATGCAGAAAGCCCTGGTGGTCTCTGAGGCTGTGGAGGATGTTGGCCAGCCCAGGTTTTTGTTAGAGGTGCAGAGATTAATTTAAGAACAATATTCTTATTTTGAATGCTCCTATGTGGGCCTTATATATGCCAGGGAGTCTTCCAGAAGGCCACCCCATACATTTGCATTATCTTCCTGCCACCTATGGCATTTCACTTAAGGGTACATCCTCATACATCCTCAACATCCGATGGACTAGTGTAAGCAGTCTAGAATGCCTGTTCCACAAAGATGCCAGGAAAATGTTTTCACTGAGATGTGATTTAGCTTATATTATATTTGTGTGTGGAATAGAGGACATAGATTTCTGACAATTTGATGTTGTGATGAAAATGATTGTCCTCAAAAGGGACAAGTGCACTTAAATCCCCAGGGGAATAGTTAACTTGTAGATATTGGTCTTTTTTTTTATTCATATGTACATACAATATTTGGGTCATTTCTCCCCCCTTCCCCCACCCCCTCCCTTACCCCCCCCCCGTCCCTTACCTCTCCTCCCCACCCCCTCGCTACTTGGCAGAAACTATTTTGCCCTTATCTCTACTTTTGTTGTAGAGAGAGTATAAGCAATAATAGGAAAGACCAAGGGTTTTTGCTAGTTGAGATAAGAATAGCTATACAGGGAGTTGACTCACATTGATTTCCTGTGCATGTGTGTTACCTTCTAGGTTAATTCTTCTTGAACTAAACTTTTCTCTAGTTCCTGGTCCCCTTCTCCTATTGGCCTCAGTTGCTTTAAAGTATCTGCTTTAGTTTCTCTGCATTGAGGGCAACAAATGCTATCTAGTTTTTTAGGCATCTTACCTATCCTCATACCTCCCCTGTGTGCTCTCGCCTCATCATGTGATCAAAGTTTAATCCCCTTGTTGTGTTTGCCTTGATCTAATGTCCACATATGAGGGAGAACATACGATAGATATTGGTCTTGATATTCCTCATTTATCATTTTACCTTCATTCCATCATTGTAATGGAATATCCACGACATACCAGGTACTGAGCTGGCAATGTTGTTTTGGTAATAAAACACCTTAAATTGGAGCACTTGACAATATCTGTGGTGTAAACACTCCTACCACAGTTGATTTGAAACTATCTGTATTGTGACAGGGACACTGACTTGGGAAGAGCTGAAGAAATTAGCTTGTGGAGGCTCATGTAGCATTGCTCCAGTGTACCCTGTGTGATAGGCAGTATGGGTAAACAGTGGCCAGAGACAAAATTTAATGTTCAAGAAGGAGTTGGCTAGGCAAAGGTAGAGGTAAAGGAGGATGGTGAAGAAGAGGAACTTTTGGCAGAAGAGCAGTTGTGCCAAGGCCTAATGACTGCAGCACAGGTAACAAGAGGAGTTTTTCTCCATGAAGTTCTGAGCCCTTGCGGAAGGGACTTGCTCTGTACCACTTACAAGAAGAAAGAACAAGTATGTTTTTAATTGTCTTGTTATGACGTAGTTTTACCAGTGGTTCTCAATCTTCAGAATGCATCAGAACCACCTCAAGGTTTTGTTGAGACAGAGATGACTGGGGTCCACCCTGTACGTACAGGATGTTGCTATTGTTGCTGTAAAAACCATTGAGTATCCCATTTGGTGACATCAATCCTTGGGTTTATTGGCTCCAGAGATCAGGTTCTTACTATTTTTTTGTTTTCCAGGGCCTCTGTTTGGAGGGACTGTGTTCGCTGTGCTTTGTTGCATCTTTAGTGTCCTGTGAGACGTGGCATTTTAGAAATAATAGCAAGAGGCCTGGTTTGGAAGACAAAGTCATTTTGGTAGATCCAGGTAACTACTTTGAAGTACCGGTCCCTTCCCTTTTGGGTGAGAGGTTTCCACAAATACCTAAGGGCTCATGTCCTGAGAGTAGAATGGTCCTGCATTTCTGTCTGCCATGGAGTGGCAGAACTATTTGGGGACCATTTACTTATCAATTTTTATCAACACTCATTAGTTTTGTTCTTGACCATCCATCCAGGAAATTAACTAATCAATTAATCAATCAATTGAATTGATTGATTGAATACCTGTGAAGTAATGTGATGTTGGCAACTTTTTCTGTTACCTGCAATGACTTTCCACTTCCTCTGATTTCCTGGCCTCAGCGGAACTCTTGCCCCTTTCATGGGAAGGACTGATCACACAAAGCATTATTAATTATTATTAATTTTAACTGATTGCTTTCATCCAGCTCTTGGAAGCCAAAGGTTTTTGGAAATGAAAGATTTGGCCAAACTGCTTTTGAGAATTCTTACCTGCAGTACTTATAGAAGTAATCTCTATTATTGCTATCTTGCCTGTTGGTGTGTTTCAGTCCACAGTGATAACCACTGTACTCTAGAAATCATAAAGTGGTTAAAAAACCCTCACAACCTTTCTTTCCAAAGTATCCTTCATTATGGACTCAATGCTTCCACTAAAACACTGGATAAAATTTTCAGATACATAGTTATCCATGACTAGATCAGATACATATTCATCCATACACTTATTTCACATTCCCAAATAAGAAAGAATAGGGTGAGGGCAAGACTAGGAGTGGACTCTTTCATTTTCATTTCTTTTGACATTAACCACCTGCTGTCTGCATTATTCTTTTATTCAAGGTGCCAATCATATATTGAGAAAGTAGTGCACTGCAGCCAGTCTGGAGAAATGTGCATGTGCCCTAGATAATTAACAAGGTAAGACTGGCATAACGATTGCCTTTATAACTAAATATTCCTCAAGTTTATAGAGCAGGTTGACCTGGGAGATCTAGGTTTCTTGGATGTTAGGCTCCATCTGATCTCACCCTCTCCCTAGGACAGTCCTGGTACTGGTGGGAGAGAGTGCTCTGGCAAGGATTGAGGGACTGTATGAGGGCAGAGGGGCAACCCAGCAAGTAGCAGGGCCTGGGGTAGACAGGTTGGGTATGGTGGGCCCACATAGGAGTCACTCCAGGACCAAGCTGAGGATTTTGAACTTGAACCCACAGTTATGGGTATGGCTGAGGGCATTTTGAAGACAACTACATAGTAAGAACTTGATATTTTGGTGAGACTGGTGTAGCAATGGGCAGGGTCTGGATTTGGGGATGGGAGTGGGGGAGTATACAGACTTAGGTACAGCCCAGGTGGTGTGAAGATGATCGAAGCAGTGTGGCGTTCATGATATGGAGACAGGGAGAAATATGCAGCAGGGAGCCAGTGGCTGGTCAGAACTGAATAAGATAGAAGGGCATTTTTGATTCATAGGAAATGGTAAGATTGGTACTGAAAAGTGAACCACGAGGGAGGCTTCAGTCTGGCAGGGGATAGGAGCTGATGCCTTCCATTGGAATCTCTTGTCTGCACAGAGACCCCCTTTGACTTCCTCAGGGGACCTGTCAGTGGATAATAGCAATAGAGGGCTGGTATTTTGCTGAGTTTGGAACAGTTGACAGCAGAGGAATGAGAGCTAGCACTATGAACCAGAATCACATCCTCAGTCAAAAAGGGCAAGAACAATGGCCCTTTGGTCTTTGTGTATTATAGGCCAGACATAGTGCTGAGTACTTGGCTTTTGCCATCTTGTTGAATTTCCCCTCTTCTTCCCACTCCAAGTGAAGAAAGAAGAATGACTGAAGAGAGAGATCCAAAGTGAAGAGTCCTGGGATGGGGAGGATTGGGTTCAGTGGTTGAGAGACTAGCTGAGTGACCTCTTAGAGGCCCTGTCTTCTTAGCTGTGAAAAAGGATACTAATAATTATTGTAACATGATGTAATTCCCATGTCCTGTTTGCTGCATCACAAACTACACACAAATTCATGTCCAAAAAGGCCAATATCATTTGTTGCACTTAAGAATTTGCAATCTGTGCAGGACCAGGTGGAGGTACTTTTGCCTCTGCTCCAGGAGATCTGCAGTGAGGACAGAAGACTGGAGATGGGATGAGGACTTGGAGGCCTCTGGATGCTGTCTTTCCACTGTGACAGTTCAGGGTTCTAGATGGAGCCAATGTGCAGGAGAGGCTGTCAAGCCCTGGGTTTGTAGGTGGCACAGCTGTATTTCCACTGCATTCTGTTGGCTAAAGTAGTGCTAGACTCCAAGGGAGGAGACTGATGCTGCCTCTCAACAGAGTGTCCCTCTTTGGAGATTCTTTTAACTGCTATTGCATAGGGTCATAGGGTTGAAGATTAAATGAGACAAGGATCATAAAAAGCTTAGCATAACACATGGGACATCTTAAGGGATCAGTCAGTGGCAGCCACTGTCAGTATTAAAGGTAGTATTCAGGATTACTAGGGAGAGAAAGACATCAGGGACCAGGTGAAAGTGCTGTGATTCAATGATCAAGAGCCCATTGGTAATCTTCTAGAAGCAGATGACCGTGGCTGTGGTGGTGGTGGTGGTGGTGGTGGGGAGAAGAAGGGAAGGAATGTAGGAGAAAGAGCTTGCAGGTGGAGGACTTCACCTGGGGAAGATAGGAGAGAAATGGGAAAGCAGGTGCAGGTGGGTGAGGAGGGCAGCAGGGATTGTCTTAGAGGATTGTCTTCTATGTGGAATGGCTCAGTGTGTCTGTGGGGCCAACTGGGGATATATGCATGTATGTAGGACAAGAAGGAGAGAAAGTAGTGGGAAGGAGGAAGAGGGGTAAGGCCAAGAGACTGAGAGTCTGTGTGGGGATACCTCTATTTTAAAGGTCACATTTATTCTAGGCAAGCTATTGATTTAAGATTTTTCAGGCAAACGAAAATAACTAGGATGTAAGCTCCTTAGAGGAGGAACTCTGAGAGGAAGGATTTACAGGTCTCTTTTTTTTTCAGGCTGGGAGACACACAGCCTCTCATGCTAGGTTGAGGGCAATGCTTAAACTGGGAGAGGAGATGGAGGGGCAGAGAAGGAAGTGGTATATTTTTAGTGTTAGTGGCCTGCAACCTCAACTGTGCATTAAAGAGCAGTGGGGAGCAGCCACTTAGGTAATAGGAAGCGAAGGACAGTTTTGGAGCCCAGTGAGTCTGAGATTGGGAAAATCATGGTTCCAGGCCAGCCTGTGTAAAAACACAGAGAATAAAAACAAAACAAAACCCCTTAAACACCACCCTCCAAAAAATCTTTCATGAGATCCCCATCTAGATGAATAAAAGCTGGGCATGGTGGTGCATAACTGTTATCTCGGCTATGGAGGAAAGTATAAATTAGGAGGATTGCATACCAGTCCAGGCTGGACGAAAGGTGAGATACTGTCTCAAAAATAACTAGAGAAAAAAGAGCTGATGAAGTGCGTCAAGCTGTAGAGTCCCCGTCTAGCAAGAGCAAAATATCAGTATCACCAAAAAAAAAAAAAAAAATCTCTCCAGGGATATATCCCAGTGATGCATCCTTCCTTCCTTTTTTTTTTTTTTTTTCAGTGTAAGGCTATTCATAATTGGCACCATGAATCCCCCTGTGTTTCTGACATGGGCTTTACAGGGTGTGAATATTTTTGGTTTGTTTGTTCCTTGCTGTATCCCAGAGCCTAATGCAGTGCCTGGCAAAGAGTGACACTTGGTCATTTGTTGAGTGAGTGTGAGGATGAACGGGCACCATGGGGAGACAGGGGCAGAAGGAAAGATTGAGAGTACACCTCAGGCAGCATTTGTCCAGGGTGGCTCTGTGGGAGATGGTTCTGATAATCCACAGTTGATTCCTTAAAAGATGATTTCCAGGGATGGAACATGAGGAAAGGAAGGATTATTCTGCAGACCTTGGGAATGATTTTTTTTTTCTCTTTCTCTCTCTCCCTCTCAAACCCCACCCCCCCAAAAAAAACCCTGACAAGTATTCTTATTTGAAATGCAGAGTGAAATTGTGCATGGTCCTTTAAAAAAGTAGAATGCATTTACTTATGCATAGGCCATATGGACTCTGGAGTGGGTGTTTATGGAGCCAAAATAAACTCCCTGGATTCACAGCCATGAGCAGCAAGGCTGGCACAGTTTTCCTCACCTTAGGAAACTTCAATTTATTTTGAACAATTTAGAGTGGGCTTTTCCCGTTATAAAATCAGTGTAAGCTTATTATAGAAAATTGCAAAAACACAGAAAAGACAAAGTTTTGCCAAGTAAACTTTGCAGAGTGTAAGGAGAGTGCTGGTTGATGGCTGCAGGGGAGAGCCCAGAGAGAGAGAGCAGAACAGAGCCTTGTGGCCATTTCTGGGGCACCTCAAGAGGTGGGCTATAGCATGGCCATCTCTGTCTTCTGAAGGCCAAACCCCCATTCTCCAGATGTCTGCTGGACAGCAGAGTGGAGGGAAACAGGTTCTGCAGCCTGGCCTTGGAGGGCTATGCTGTCAGCCTGTCCCAAAACTCCATATTATAGCTGTCAAGCTCCTGAGATTCCCAAAAGAAAGTCTCTCTTTGAGGGAAAAGGCCGATTGGTGTTTATAGATTTTCTCTAACACCAGCAGGAACAGAGGATGTGTGGGTACCACAGAGAAGCCATGATCAACCCTGGAGATTAACAGTCTATTCTTTTTGATCCAGCAAAGGGCTGAGGGCTCCTACTTGATATCAAGTCCTGTGCTGGGGGTACAGTGGTGAGTACCTGGGTATGAGGCCTGTGTTTCTTGAGCTCACAGTTTGGTTTACACATGTCCTCACCCTCAACTGAGGTCATGGGCTAGTGGTCACAGGTCCTCAGGAAAGGTTGTGATCCCACCACCTACTTCTACCCAGCTCTGTCCTTTGGAGGGAGGTCCTCATTATCGTCATGGATCCATTCCAGAACCACAATCCAAGTTTTCCTAG